TGTCCCTGCTCTCCACCAGCAGCACAGAGCATCTGCTGGGAGCTCTGCCCCGCCTTGAGCTTTCCTTGCTCCCTGGCACCTTGCTGCTCCACTTTCCAAAGGGCCAACCTGTAAACTTGGGAGGTAATAAAAGAAATTCCTCTAATTTGCAAAACTACCACTAGAGAGTATCGATGGCTCGTTTAGGAAAACTGAGCTCTTCCCTCGGGGCTCGGGGCAGGTGGCAGATGAGCCGCCGGTGATCAGGGAGGAGTGACTGGTTTCCCAGGAGAGAAAGTGCTGAGCAATCACAGTGGCATCGGGCCGGCTGTGTCAGGGTGGTTTTGCAGCCCGTGTCCAACCCTGCAGCTTCCAGGAGTGGGCCAAGTTTTGCTCATGACTTTATTTCCTTCAAGTGGCAATTGCCCTAGGAAAACCCCAGAGGAGATTCAACAGAGTCAACACCATCATTTCGTAATGTGGGAGTCTGATGTCACTGTGAGGTGGAGGAGTTTCAGCCAGGATGATGCTGGGATGAGGCAGGGCTGGACTCAGCTGCTGGAGACAGGGAGGACACGTCCACAGCACGGAGAAACCCCGCTGGAAGCAGGAGCAGTTCCTCTTGGGGTGGCTTTGGTCATCACAGGGATGCAGGTGCTGCCAGGACGGGGCCATGGCACCCTGGGCACCACGGGGCCTCGTGTCCCAAACATGTCCCATGTGTCATGTCCCACACGGCTCAGATGTCCCTGCTGTGACCAGAGCAGGGCACGGGTGTCCCCAGAGCCACCTGCCAAGGGTTCAGGGCTGTGTGTCCCTCGAGGGGGTGGCACCTCCTGTGCCCCTTGCTCAGCCCCTGCCCCATCACTGCTCTGCCCTCCCCTCGGAGTTGTCTGTGCCGGATGGACAGCGGGTCTTTACATCCCTCGTTTGTCACCTCTCTGCTCAGGTGCAGCCCTGATGGGGCAGAGCAGGACCCGCTCTAGGCTGGCACCAAGCCTGGCACCAGGCCTGGCACCAAGCCTGCCCTGAGCAGCTCCAGCCCCCGAGCTCTGAGAGCTGTGCCAGGGAGGAGCCCCCATAACAGGGCTTGGGCAGCTCCCATTGAGGGAGAAACCTGTTCAGAAACACTCTGGGAATAAAGGTGAGAAGAAAGCTGCTAAAATGACAATATACATTGCAAAAAAGTCATCCAGGGGCATCCAAATGCAGCTTTAGCTTCATGCCATTTCTTTTATCCCATATGGAAAGGAATGATTTCTCCCAGCTCTGTCAGGTTGATGAGTGACCCACAGAGACCAGAACACAAATGGGGTCCCCCTGTGGCAGGAGCCAGTGCTTGGTGGCAGCAGGGACAGCTGAGGGCACACAGCTGGCCAGCACCAGCCAGGCAGGAGTTTGCAATCTAATCTAAATCTTTTATTGGATTTCTTAAAAGGCAGAAAATATTTCCTCGTCTGCCTCACTGTGCTCCCCGGATTTAGACGAGCTCTGAGGATTTGGTTCTGTAAAGCCAAGGCTGACCTTGCCAGGGGCTGAGCTCACCCTGCAGGGCTGGGCCAGGGTGGCCCTCGGGCTCCTGTCCTCCCACAGCAGAGGCCCAGGTCACTGCTTCCTTTCCTTGTACCTGCCCAAACGCAGGCAGGCTCTGGCGCAAGATCTGCTCCCTCTGTGAGCAAACCAGCCCCGGGCAATCAGGAGGAACCTCAGTGGCACAAGGTGCTCAAGGATGGGATGGAGTCCAGGGCTGCAAGTGCCAGGACTCGAGTTCCTTGGAGAACAAAATCTTTCTCTATAGGAGTAGAGCCTGCCCTTAGACCTTAGAGGCAGCGGCTGGGGTTTGTTCTTTCCAAAATCCTGTCCCACACAGTGTCACCCACATCTAACATCACAGGCAATGGGCATGCAGTGAAAACCATCGACTCTCTTTGTGTCATAGAGACTTCACAATCTCTTGGGTTTATACTGTTGTCAAACAGCCAGCACATCAAGGAATCAGTATTTTTTATTTTTGAAAAGTATGAAGAACCCACCTCCTTTCACTGGCCAGGGCCCGTGCTCACCTTTGCTGCCTTCCCTGCTCACCTGCAGCAGTGCTGTGTCACTCTCATTCCTGCCCTGCCGGGTGCTGCTCCTTAGGGAACGATTGCTGCGTTATTCCAGCACTCTTCCTCCCTGGATGGGGCCTGTTCCCAGCATTAATCTTTAACCGTGCTCTCCTGCAGCTTAAATCTGACAAATGTTCTGAGTGGTTGCCCCAGGTTCTTTTTGAAATCCTGCCTCGGGATGTTAAGATTTGGTAACACAGATTCTAACCTTAAAATAGCAGCACAAAATGTTCTATTTACTCACAAAATGAATGCCAAGTATGCAGCATCCCTCACCAGACCGGGGGAGTGGGGGGGGGGGGCTGTACTGATAATATCTGTCAGACAAAGGAATTTGGTGGAAGGAACCAATCTGGTGTCCCTCCTCCAGCAGGCAGCAGCCCTGGACAGCATTCCTGGTCCTGGGAAAGGAGCTGCTGCTTCAGCTCCTCTCCTGTGCCTCTGAGAGCTGGATGTGCTCTAATGCTTCTTCCTTGTAAGAAAATTTGTCTCAGGCTCCGGGTGAGGTTGAACCTGAGCGCTGTGAGCTGTGCCCGAGGCGGCTGCTGAGTGTGCTGCTTGGTCCATCTAGTGTTGGCTGGGGCTGGGGCAGCATTCCAGCTCTATCCGTGTGCACACAGCATTCCCACAGGCTGGGCAGCACCTGGGCAGGCACTGCCACCTGCACTGCCACCCTGCACTGTCACCCTGCACTGCCACCCTGCACTGCCACCCTGCTCTGTCACCCTGCACTGCCACCCTGCTCTGCCACCCTGCACTGCCACCCTGCACTGCCACCCTGC